ACAATTGTAATTAGTGCATTTGGAGTCGATGCAAATCAGAGTGCTTTCTGATCGTGTATTGATTATATCGACTGAACGATCAGATATCGAAGAGAAAAGTAATTCGGGCTAAAGAAAAAAACGTTGATTACTTATCGATACTTACTTAGTCTTCCTACAATCAGGGATTGTGTAGTAGAAGGCGAAACGGATGGGATAAACGGCGACCCATTTGGCGGATTTCCACACACCATCAGTTGCTGAAGAAAATAAAAAGGGAAATAATGAAAAAAACGACAAAGAATGTCGGAGCGTACAACGGCCGAAACGTTGTAATAAGATGGGGATAATAGTCCGAATAATGTAAATAATGAAAGGCCGAAACGTTGTGATAAATATGGCGTCAAAGGTGAGGACAATAGTCCGAATAATGTAAATAGTGTACATAATACCTCATCTCAGAAATATAGACAGATACTGAAGGGCCGAAACGTTGTAATAAATATGGCGACAAAGATGAGGACAATAGTCCGAATAATGTAAATAGTGTACATAATACCTCATCTCAGAAATATAGACAGATACTGAAGGGCCGAAACGTTGTGATAAATATGGCGTCAAAAGTGAGGACAATAGTCCGAATAATGTAAATAGTGTACATAATACCTCATCTCTGAAATATAGACAGATACTGAAAGGCCGAAACGTTGTGATAAATATGGCGTCAAAGGTGAGGACAATAGTCCGAATAATGTAAATAGTGTACATAATACCTCATCTCAGAAATATAGACATATACTGAAACGCCGAAACGTTGTAATAAATATGGTGACAGAGATGAGGACAATAGTCCGAATAATGTAAATAGTGTACATAATACCTCATCTCAGAAATATAGACAGATACTGAAAGGCCGAAACGTTGTAATAAATATGGCGTAAAAGGTGAGAACAATAGTCCGAATAATGTAAATAGTTTACATAATACCTCATCTCAGAAATATAGACAGATACTGAAAGGCCGAAAGGTTGTAATAAATATGGCAACAAAGATGAGGGCAATAGTCCTAATAATGTAAATAGTGTAAATAATACTTCCTCTCAGAAATATAGACAGATACTGACAATTAATATTTTTGCTCTTTTAATGATTTTACCCCAAGCAAGGCGATGAAGCCATGAAGATGCATTGGCTTACCGAAAGCTAATGAATCTGAGAAAAATATTATTGAGTAGAGAGGATAATAAAATAACTAGATTCAATAAGACAGATGAAGATAGACGTTGCATTTCAAGTTTCTGATATCGTAGTTGATAGGAAACGAAGAAGACTTTCACAGGCAAGAATTACGACGAAGAAACTATTAGAATAGAACTTACGGTTGCACTTAGAGATTTTAACAGTAAAATGATGAGACCTAACTGCCAATTTAATATGGCGCTTAAATTCATAAAGTCGAAGTACCAAAGAGGAAACAATATTTATTTTGAATAATACAAAAATGTGGTACAAGACCAAAAGCGGAGATAGGGGAGGGCTGTTCTTCAGTCTGTCTTATCTTAAACTTAGCTAACCACAATTACTGAACTAAACATACCACAGTATTTCTTACATCAAAACGACACATTCTTACTTACCATTCTTACTACAGCCCCCATAATACCTCAGAGTCTCTATGTAGTCATAGCTAGTTCCCATATGAACACTTGGTCTGGTGTGGGGGTGGAAGATAAAGATAACCTAGGGAAAGCTCATCAGAACACTTTCCATCAAAACATTTATAGAAAAGGCACAGGGAAGCAAGGTTACGGCAGTGGGAATTGGATTGAAGCCGAGATACCAGATTGGGACCGATAGTATTGCAGATTCTTCTTTAGATTTTGTCCACATTTCTAACTGAATTAATATCAATATGTTGGCCACCTGACCCGCAGTTTTGATTTCCACGTTTTCTCGGACAAGCGTTTCCACTTACCTTCGGTTAACCCCAAAGGTAAACATTTAATAAATGTTACTTAATAGTGGCCCTAAATCACGTGTAGTGACGTGTTGCCAATTCGAATTCGCCAAAGAGAAGACGTAGCGGACTTCATTTGGATAAAAAGTTCTATGTTAACAATTTAATAAGCAAAGATAAAAAAAAATCATAGAGTGAGATTATTCAGATCTACAATAAAAAATAAGAAGTAATCTTGTTTCCGTGGCATAAATTTTATTACACTTACTGTTATAATTGTGCTATGTATTACACTTATTATATTATTATAATTGTGGTATGTATTACACATATTGTATTGTTATAATTCTGCCATGTATTATACTTATATTATTGTTACAATTGTGCTATGCATTACACCTATTGTTATAGTTGTGCTATGTATTACACTTATATTGTTATAATTGTGCTATGCATTAAACCTATTATATTGTTATAATGGTGATATGTATTACACTTATTATATTGTTATAATTGTGCTGTTTTATTAATAGTTGATGTAGTTCATCTCCTTATAGCTATTTTTTGATGTAAACTTCAAATTGTAGTTTAACGTAATGATTATCGACGCGGAATGTGGAATTAGAGTCCAAGATCGTCTGTTGGGTACACTTTTCAGATACTCTTGGTATAGGCATGAATCGGTCATTTCTGTCCCCAACCACGAGTTAAACAGTACGGTAGACTGGGCTCTCTATCCTTGGCTGTCAGATAATCTAGGAAAAAGACAACTCTAAATTCAAAATCGTAGAATAGGCAATGCGAAACCTCCGGTATTTTTCTCTAGAAATTTATTTCTATTTTTCACCAAAATCTTTGAGAGCCATGACCGCCTAAATTCTGAAGGAACATGGTATTCAGAAAAAAAAAATTATAGCTACATATGTATATGAAGATAAATTTCAGTAATATCGTCAGTGTAATTCATCCGTTATGGCTTGGGACCGTACCCAGCGGATAATGAGGTAATTCATTTACATTTTTTTTTAATTTTTTCTTTTTCGTTTTTTTTTATAGACCAATTTCGTTCAATATTTGAAGATTAATTGTTAATATATTATTGGATTAATTTCCAATTATATTATGGCTGATTCATTCTCCAACCTTCTGACTTTTCCTAAAGCTTAAATCACCGTTGAATATTGGCGATATTTCAGATCGTGACCGAGATTAAGGAGAACGTAGCCAAATATTTGATAGCGATCTCAAAAGCGTATTTTTTATTTGAAAAGCGGGATGTACACTGAATGTTACAAGAAATTATGAAAAGTGCACTGAACTGGTTTAAGTTGCACTTGCCTTGGTAGGCTACTATTAGTGACTGTTAAATGGTTGCATACAAACATAATCCTTATGTTAGGTTTCTTACGACTGTTTCATTGCTGAAGCCATTATATATTTCTCAATGGCGGTAGACGTTTGATGTTCAAACCCAATTAAGCAACTCCCCGACGGATGTAACTGGTAAGTAACAACATGTTTTCTCAATCATGTTTCCCTAACTAGGCCCATGCATTTGATCCCATGGAAACACTGTTGAGTAATTGTTAGTTTTTTGTTGTTTTTTTTCCGGGTTAAATATGAATATGAGGGGTTACCGGACAGGGGGGTCTCCTACCCCCCCGGAAAAAAAACGATGGTATATGAAAAAGACTTACCAATATTGGGCACTATTTTCCATTGTTCATTCTGATCTGGCTCACAAGTGGAAAACCTTCATGAACAAATAAAAATAAAGGAATAAAATATGTCAATAAAACTGAGATTTATATGTACACCCACATATATATATATATATATATATATATATATATATATATATTGGTTGGTTACGTTTTGTTAACCGTAACAGAGCAAAACGACACATTATAGCGTGATTTTTGTTAGGGCAATAAAGTTAAAATAGTCTAACTTGAATAATAAAACATTTTACATTTTAGTAAATTGCTTTTTAGAAAAACAAGAAATAAAATAAAATAAAATAATCCTATGCATCTCAACAATATATATATTTATTAGATAGGGTTGGATGGCTTCAGTCCCCCCTTCACTTTTTGCGAGAACTGAAAACTAAAATGTAACCTGTAAACCATTTGTTGCTTCCCCATTATGTAGTGATTAAGAAACTAATCGTGTCGTTTCTGTCTTTTCTTAGAAAAGGCATATTTTTCAAAAGATAGAGTTCAGCTCAACAGCATCGTCATGGATCGAAGTCATGATGACATAGATTACTGTTTAGTTTTCAGTTCCAGCAAAGGCAGCTGTAAATACCTCTGAACCTTAACATATGACGTTTTGCGTTAGCCCAAATAGTAAAAGATTTTTTTTATTATTGATTGATTCTTTTTTTTACGGTTTATCAACCCGTTACAGATTATTTAAAACCAGAAAATATTTTTAGATTTCAAATTTTTTTGGGAAATAATAATGATTTAGTACTAGATATTGACCAGGTTAGACGTTGCTTAACTTCAGTGATCGTACAGGAGCATGTGTTTCAACGTGATATGGCCTAAGTCAGTAAAAGATGTTCATATACGAGATGAAGACACAAGTTCAAATAGAACAATGTTAGCAGTAATTTAATAAGAACCATGACATTTATGTTGAGCCAGTCAAATGTAAATAGATTTTGTGACAATTTATATGAAATATTAATTTAAATGATATTTCACTTCCGACTCCAACTAAACAAAGTCTTTTCTATTTTCCTTTCCGGAGAGAAAAAAAAAAAGAATGAATTCTCTCTATTCCTCTTTTTCTTTCTTTATTATCTTTCTGAATTCAACCGCCATTTTCCTTCGCATCCCAATTTTCGCTTTCATCATCTTTATCCTAGTCTTTTAACTTTTCACCATTTATCACGATAATTTCTTTTTATTCCTTTCTTTTGTTATTTTTTTTCATCATTTGTTTCTTCTTTTTTTTATTTAACATGAATTTATTTAAATTTCCAATCATTTCTTCTTCTTCTTCTTCTTCTAGTAAACCCATCCTTAGTATCGTCTACTTCTTCTTCTTCTAGTAAACTGATTCTTAGTTTCTTCTTCTTCTTCTTCTTCTTCTTCTTCTCTATCTATTTATTTCAGTATTTTCATATCTATCTATCTATCTATCTATCTATCTATCTATCTATCTATCTTTTTAAAAAGCTTTTTATCTAACCCATTATTATCCTATTAAACAATTTGATTGCATAGTGACTAAGATATTTATGCATTGTTTCTGTAGTCAAGTTGGAGAGCAAGTGAAAGCGAAAATTCCGAATAATAATAAAATTACGGATAAGCTCACCCAGTTTAAAAATCTATTTTCCCGCAAAGCGAATAGTCAATACACAGGGTTACATTGCCAAACCTGTAAGCGCTACATATAGTCCTACCTGCCTATAATTGTCTCGTAGTATAAATTCAATCAAACATATGTATTCGAAAAAAATACCGACCATAGCCAATGTAGGCAAAGATATATTCGAAAGTTTTAACTCGAAGAAAAAAATTCACATGAAGACTTGAACAAAGCTGATTAAGTTGGTTTTAAAACGATAAAAATTGCTGTTGTATAAATAAATGCAAACATGACTCTGATGCGAAAAATAGACAATTTAAAAGATGATCAGAAGCGGCCTTCAAGTGGGCAAAGATGATGTCACCTTTAGATTGACTGGTGTTCATACTTTGCGTTTAGAATTACTATAATTCACCACGTATAACACGCCTTCATCTATAATACGCGCCCCTAAAATTGTGCTAAATGTGTGTAAAAATGCTTCTACTCATGCATAATACGCACCCCTTGTTTGGTAGTCAAACCCTACAAATTGTACCTCCCGATTTTCATTACAGTCAGCGTTTTCTATTCTTATTTTTAAAAAAATGGTTTTAAACATAGAATAATATTATTCTAATTTAGTTTTGTGATAATTCTTATTTTATTTTACGGAAATTTTTTAAAGATTTTTTGTAGCTGTGCATAATGCGCACCCCTGATTTTGCTTGTCATTTTTTAAGAAAAAAAAAATGCGCATTATACATAGGGAATTGCGAAAATGAAATACTGAGAAAATAAAAAGAAATGAAAAACGAAAAAAAAGAAAAGGTAAGACAAAAAGAAAACAAAAGACGAACGAAACGAAAAATAAGAATAACGGAAGTAAGGCTAAAAAGAAAGGAAAAACGAAATTAGGAAAAATGTAGAAGAAAAAAAGAAAAAGAAAATTGCAACAAGAAAAGAAAGAAAGACGATAGAAATAAAGAAAGAGGAAAAAAGGAAAACGGAATAAATAAAAGAAAGATATGAACGACAGAAGAAAAGAGAAGAATGAAAAAAATAAACTTTTCATAAAAGAGGATGATAGGGATAAATAAGAAAGAAAGAAAGAAAGAAAAGAAAAGAAACAAACAAACAAACAAACAAAGGGATGAAGGAAACAGGAAAACGGAAAAAAAATAATAAATTCTCAAACGAAAGAAGAAATAAATAAAACCTAAAACAAAATAAATGAAAAACTTACAAAATGAAAGAAAGAAAGTACGTCATGTAAAAAGTCTAGAAAGAATGTAAAAAGGATTAAATCCCAAATAAAAAGAATTAAAGAAAAAGATACAATAAAAGAATCCCTAAATAGATAATTGGACAAAATGAAGAAATAAGGAAATATCCAAAGTATGAGACGTGTTGAGTTGATGATAAAACAATATGAAAGATGCAGTTTTCCGTTTGTAATTTTGTGCACATGCGCAGAATATAAGATGACATTAACTGTTTCCTGTTTCGAACAGTCCCCGAGGCCTTCTAACAAATGGATCGGCCATTACCACCTAAGCTGGCTACTTTCTATGTTACCGAGACGCGACAATAGCGACGAACGGATCAATAAGCGTTCATTCTAGGCACACACTTTCTCTGAAACACTTTCATCCCAATTCTCTTACAATTTCTGGCAATCTTTTGCAGCTGAACCTGTTTTCGTTGATTATACAACATAAAGAAAACTCGTCCAACAAACTGGGTGCCCATCTAAGCCAATATTTTTCTACAGACATGTCTGCCACAGGCGCAGAGTCTACCATATAAGTATCTTTTAATAGCGCCTTTTTATCATTTTGCGCAGGTCCTCTTTGATTATTATTCTCACAATGCTTTGGTCGTTGTAATCTTCGTCAGGTGTCTGTTGGAATTGGTGACTTTCTGAGCATTTCGACACAAACACTTTATTCAATTTAAAAGGGTATATTGTTCTGATTCCATTTAAGGAGAGATCTGTTAATTCGCCCTTGTGGTGTCGCTTGCTTCCTTCACTCAGGCACGACGCCACAAAATGAAAACATCAGTGGAGGTGTGGGACTAAATTAAATGTTTAAGGTGGGGGAGACAAAAGTCAATGTTACATTTTAAAGTTTTTTTTTTTGCCTTTTAATTATTTTGTCCCAGTCAAGGCGATAAATCCACTCAGACGCAAGGAGTTAGTGGGTGTGAACGAAAATGAGAAGATATTATGAGGAGAAAGTACAATAAAAGACAATAAAAGGAAAACAATATGTCGATTGATGTTGAATTTAATTTTTTGAAGATTGAAGATGGTCAGGGAACTAGAGATCGGAAGAGGCTTCCACGGGCGAGGAGTATGAGAAAAGAAACTATTAGAATATAAAATAAGGTTACATTTAGCTATTTCCACAGTAAAATGATGAGACCTAATTGCCAATCGAGTACTGCGCTCAAATTCATGCGGTCGAGGCACAAGGAGGAAAGCTCATAACATGAGAGTAAAGCCATGTCACAGAGGTAGGAAAGTAACGGAAGTCGAAATGCTAGTTAAATCTTTGGATTCTTTCGCGAATCTCGCGATATATAGCAGGGTTCCGACAGGTCTACTTACCGAAGACTCGCTACAGATGAATCAATATCTCTCTGACTGTCAACCCAAATATTGTAAAAGAGACGCTCATGTTTGGGCGATACTATAATCATATATATGTCTATGATGATGATGATGATGATGATGATTTTAACCGTAGGCCACCGTCGTAAATGGAAGGTTGATTTTCCTAGCATCCTTTATTGTTTAAAAGGCAAATTTTTCGATGTCTGTGACTGTAGAGTCTCCTGCGGAAAAACGATAAAATGTTTATAAAAATATATTCTTCAATCATGGTCTAAAGGGGCTGTCAAAAAGTTCTGTAATCTTTGTCGTGGCGACTTGTATCACCTTCTCCCCGATGTGAGGTGTTTGGTCAGGGGTTTCTCTCTATTTGTCCGTATAGGCTGCCGCTCTCCCAGGACTGTCAATCTCCATATCGCGCCTCCTCGACATCGCAACCGCAGCTTTAAATTACGACGCCATAAAAAGGAGGTCTTTGGGGATGCTGTTAAACCATGAATGGATGTGGCCCAACCAACGGAATATTGCTAAAATTTGAGCCGTGTTTACATGCGTTTCAGACCTACCAGTGTCTTTGGACCAGTGTTATTCACCTGTTCCTTCATTGTATTTCCAGGATGCAATCGGATACACAAAACATGTTAAATTTCACAAATACATCTTACCATATATTTGTATGAAATAATAATGATAATTGTGATTCAAGGCGCTATTTATTTATTGCATCCAACATTTTTTTCTTTATGTTATATGAATTACCATGGTATCTAGAAAAAAAAGTTGTTTTTGGTCTCCGTTTTTCAGTATAGAGCAGTTGTATTGAACATAGCTCTCAAGAAAATATTAGAGGTCAATTTATTCAATGTATTATTTTATTCAAAAAACGAATGGTAAAATTATGAGCATGCAAGATGGATTTTAATTAATTGAAATAAATTTTGTCACTACATGTAACTGGTTCATTATAAATATCTAATTCATCATTAAATTATTTTCATACGCTGATCAATTTGGACAAGTTCCCTCATTTTGATTGTTAATGATTAAAAGATTATGTCTGCTAATAAATTTTGACAAATTTGTTCCATCTCTTGTGGCAAAGGTAACCTTCAAAAAATTACGAGTAACAAATTCAGATATTTCAACTTCTTTGTGTCTCTGAGGATTTTAATAGAATGATTTTTTGACGTTTTATAAGTCTTAATCAGGCGTCTTTTATGAAATGTGAGGACACACTTTATTTCTTCAGAAAATATTCCCTCTTTTTATTAAAATTAAAAGATAAAATCACGGCCTGGAGAGTCAGGCTATTCCATACTGCCTTTCAGGTGCGCAGATAACTCTATCGGTTAAATAAATAACATTGCTCACGACCAAGACGTTAAGTTGTCTGGATGATTCGGACTTTAATTCATTTACATTTTCATTATCTTCTATGCCCCCCCCCCTGCTCCCCAATACATTGTTTTATTGATCTTGGTTTATCTGCCACGCACGCATAGTTTTAACACACACACACGCACAAACACACGCGTTTACACACACACACACACAATAATACATTTCGTATAAAGATATTCGGAAAATATATTACCTTTATATAAAATATATATATATATATATATATATATATATATATATATATATATATATGAAAAAAAATACAGAAAAAAACAAACAAAAATCTTAATATTCAATTATGCTGTATTAATGTTAATATAAAGTCAACGTCGGACGTTTCGGTCTATTTTAGACCATCATCAGGACATATTCATAAAACATAATTAACATTAGAACATATAAAATTCAACATGAAAAAAACGATGGGACATAAGAGCACAACTAATCCAAACAGATAACTGAAATTTTTATATAAGATCAGCGTTCCGTTTAAATATGATCACGTCGTCGTCACGTGGGCGATGTTTTAAACGTATTCGAAGATGATTTCCAAATATTAAAATATTAAACAATAATAGACCGAAACGTCCGACGTCGACTTTATATTAACATTAATACAGCATAATTGAATATTAAGATTTTGTTTGTTTTTTTTCTGTGTATTTTCTTCATACTGTCGGATCTATATTCATATATTTGCTTAAATATATATATATATATATATATATATATATATATATATATAATATATATATTATATATATATATATTTATTTGAACGATATATTTATATATATATATATATATATATAAATATAGTTTAATTTAGGTACCTCCATTAATTCGGTATACGTAATGTTTAAAATGTTTTTTGCGGTAATAAAAACTTCTCTTGAAGGTTTCATTTTAGTTTTAATTGGAAGCTAAAATGTTTAACATTTACTATTTCCAGTAAGCAAAATATTCTGGGGTGTATTTCAAGCAGATATTATATTGATCGGAATCGATTTTTTTCAGTAAAATCGATAAAAACTGCCATTTTGATACATTTGTAAACAAATGTTAATTCTCGCTCGGTTTAAATATTCTTGCAAAAATAAAATACATTTTGTGAAACGGTATTTGAGGAAAATTAACAAATTTAAAGTTAAATTAATCTGATTTGAAATAAATATTACCTACTAATAGCATAGAATCTTGTATACAAGCATTTCTTAACCATGTGGTCCTGATATATATTATTCTATATTATATTTTTTTTTTTTTTGATTTATTAACAGCCGAATGACCGCCGAACATGTTCATAGTTAATGTGGTTTTCGATAAAGTTTATTTTTCCATTTTTTTTGTAAGAAACGACAACCCTTTCACGCGATTTTTTTTAATGATAATGTTAAAGGTTTGAACATCCATACTTTTGTTCTGCAATGTATATCACACATACAAAAACAAATCTAAATTCTTTTAAAAATATTCAGTGTCGTCAGGTTGTAATAAGTTTGACAATATATGATTAGTAAATCTAGTTGTTCTTAATAACAATATTTCCTAAGAATTATCTCATTGAAACAAAATTTTAAAAGATTTAAAACTTTATAAATGACTCAATTTAAAATTATAAAAAATAAAAACAAATGTTGTAAAAAATCCATTTTTCACTGAATTTTTTTTTATTCAGACAATATCATTTTTAATTTTTGTTTATTCATAAAAACAATTAAAAGTTTCTTTAATTAAATAATGTCTTAGTTTCATTGTGTTTTTATTTTTCGATTCAGAACCGATTTCCGGTTAAACGGGGCCAATTTTGTAAAAAAATTCGGTGATTTAAATTCTTCAAAAAATTCTGCTTTAAACTCATATAGTCACTAAAAATTATTACGTTGAATTTCTCAAGTTTTCATAAAATTAAGCAAGGGGATAAAAAATATTTTTACCAAGATTCTCTAAAAACAATTAAAAAATAATTTTATTCTGTTGTGACTAAGTCCTAAAAATTTTATTAAAATTCGACAATTATTTGATTTCTGCAAGAATTTCCAAATTAATGCCTGTCACCGCAAGAAAGAGGCTAAAATTTGCTTTGCTAACTGCTGACGAAAGAAAAATGTTTTTTAATCAACATTTCGAATTTTCTAAAAAGGAGTAAAAAATTTAATTAAATAATCAAAAAATACTTTGATCCTTCCTCTTAATAATAA